AGTATACGATACAGAGGGTTGTGGATAGACACGACCTCCAACGTCTGACGTCATCTACTACACGTAACAAGAAGAAGATATTGTCTGCCATGTTCATAGGCCAGCCAGGCTTAGACTCATCCACTTTTGAGGTTGAACCAGTCACATTGCTCCTTAATCTCAGCCTCAGCAAAAGGCGCCTTCACCTCTACCGTGCTTCCCTATAGACCAGGCTCCCAAGTCGACTCACCTCTCAGAAAAAGACAGCAATATATTTAAAGGGAGTAAAGGCTGCCGGCGTAATAGTTTGAATGGTTGCCTGACATCTTGTGTCAAATACACTCCCCTGGTCTTCTTGCTTGCTGCCATAATAAACTCTTCGCTGGAAGATTCTTAGTTTTCAATGCTTGAACATCATGTAAGATGTTTCGTTTCGCACAAAAACACACAAAAACACACACACGCACACACACAAACACATCACACAAACACATCACACATACTCGCCGCTGCATTAACGTAGTTTAGCTAGATTAGCAAGCGCTGCTGCACTAACGTAGTTTACCTAGATTCGCAAACGCTGCTGCAAGCGTTTGTCCGTCTGCGTGCCTGTCAAACTGAGCAGCTTTGTTCAGTATTGAAGTGAGGACACACCAAATATTCGTGGGCGAAAAATCGTTGAGATAATCAGGATAAACACTTTGTACATTTATTAGTTATCTCCCATGGCCGTTGGTTCTAAAGCCGCGCACATCAGATCATAGAAAAGTGCTGTTACATTTCATTACCTCTAGACAAGGGCTATCTTCATAGTACATTGGTGACTTGCCGCTGCATTACACTAGACAACTGTTGGTGTTGTGTGTTCGCAGTTTTCTGACCTTGAATTAATTAACGCGTGAGACAAGGGAAAGAATCAATTCACAATACGTCTTGGTCCCGCCTAAGAAGGATAACCAGCGAATGTAACTTGGCCAAGCCAAACCTCCTCTCATCTACAGTGTAAGTGTGAATTATACCAGTTAGTTTTCCAGTTGTTTCGTAAACTTGCAGTTCGGCGAGAACTAACATATAGTCTGTACTTTCTACTCCGAGCATTTGTCGGCAATCACTTTCCACACTGTTGGATAAACTAGCAACAGTCACACAATCCAACCGCTACACAGGACAATCTGTACTTGTTTACGTGTGTGGTCAGCGTCATGTTTGCTAACTCCCGATAATTTGTTGGTTCCCTGTTTAGTCTTGCTATAATATAAAGTGAGATTCTCTAAATACCATGGACCAAAGAGACAAACTGATTTACTAAAAAAGCAAAACATAAATGAAGTTTAGCGAGTAAACAGCACCTCGAAAGCGAAATATTTTAGACATAGTTTGACCACAAGCTACTGGAAGAATATATGCATACAGCATAGTGCGGGATAAGAGGGGCAGGCGCCGACCAGCATACAGATGTGCAAAGGATATAACATTCAACTTGTGCAGAAAAGAGTACGAAAATGGACAGGGACGAAGTGTCTTTCAGGTGCACCGTGATGAGAGCGACGTTCTGCAAGCAACCTGCAACATGAACTTAACACCAGGAGGCCCAGGGTATATAAAACACCCAGCTGTATGGGATTTGAACCTTTGAGCAACAAGCTGGCAGGCAGACGTGCTGAGTACGGCAAATCTAATAACAGTTCAGGAATGATTGGTTGATGAAACACGCCAAACTGGCAGTCCGTTAGTACTCTGGTAAATTGACACGACCACTTCTGTCTGTGCACAACTAATAAATTGTTAGGGGATCTAGAAACTATGGTTGTAAACCCTTGGCTCGGTACTATGGATATCGCAACCCTTAGGTTAATCCCACGATAGATTTACCACTGTAAATCTGGGAGATATATGACTTTTCTTCCTACCCCGGAGCGTCAACTCGGACCACAAGGAGATAGTCACCCGGTTGCCGCGCCGCTGGTTTATCGACCTTAGCTTCCGCGCAGGTTAATTAGAAAATACTACACCTTGTCTTAAGTTTGTAGCAGATCTATAACTAAGTGTGCCGATCAATTTTTACAAATCTTTCATATTAACAGATTCGAAGAAAAAAAAAATTATCTTCGAGTTTTTTTTGTAACATATAATTTTTCAGTGAAAGGAATGAATCTTTCTTTGGTGACACACAAAACAAGAGTTCAGTTTCCTTACCTGTTCTTATGGTAGAGATTGGTATTTCGTTTGTAAGATTTTTTAATAGGAAGTAATAAATCGGAACAGTTGATAACAAATCGAAGTTTATCGAGTAGTAGGCGACGATCAAGATTCAGCTGTTGCTTGTTTTGTCAGGACAGCAGTTTAGAGTGGGACTCAAAGATCTGGGATTGTGTCGGGTGGTGAACCTTCATATCTCACGTTTGTGAGCATGAAACAAGAGGATGATGATGCTATATTTGAAGTTGTTCTGGCTTGAATCGAGTCAGAAGCTGAACACTCACGATTGACAAAGGAAGAGGCTTCAAGAAGTCCTAACTATGACAAACCAACTGAAGACAATGGAAATGGCTGCAAGAAGACTAAACTATAAGAAATCAACTGAACGAAATTGAAAAAATTTTGAAAAATTAGCTATGAAAAAGTGAAAAAGATATAGAAAGTTAAAATATTTAACTTGTAACAAATAAAAACAATGGAGAAAGTTTGACCTAACTATGAACAACTGAAGGCAATTTAGAAAGTCTGAAGAATTAACTATGAACAAATTAGAACAATCAAAACAGTATAACAATTAAACTATGAACATTTAAGAAAAACTGAGAAAGTGTGAAGATTTAAGTTTTAACAACTGAAAACAGTGAAGAAAGTTTGAAGACCTCACTATAAACAACTAAAGACAATTTTACTAGGACATGTTGGTGACAGAAAAAAATACCGCGGGTTTAAAAGGACATGTTGGTGACAGGAAGAATACGACAGGTTTACCAGGACATGTTGGTAACAGGAAGAACACTGCGGGTTTACCAGGACAGGTTGGTGACAGGAAGAATACGACAGGTTTACCAGGACATGGTGACAGTGAGAATACGACAGGTTTACCAGGACAGGTTGGTGTCAGGAAGAATACTGCGGGTTTAAAACGACATGTTTGTGACAGGAAGAATACAACATGTTTACCAGGACATGTTGGTGACAGGAAGAATACTGCGGGTTTACCACGACATGTTGATGACAGAAAAAATACAGCGGGTTTAAAAAGACATGTTGGTGACGGGAAGAATGCTACGGGTTTAAGAGGACATGTTGGTGACAGAAAGAATACTGTAGGTTTACCAGGACATGTTGGTGACAGGAAGAATACGACAGATATACCAGGACATGTTGGTGACAGAAAAAATAACGCGGGTTTAAAAGGGCATGTTGGTGACAGGAAGAATACGACAGGTTTACCAGGAAATGTTGGTGAAAGGAAGAATACGACAGGTTTACCAAGACAGGTTGGTGACAGTAAGAATACGACAGGTTTACCAGGACAGGTTGGTGACAAGAAGAATACTCCGGCTTTACCACGACATGTTGGTTACAGGAAGAATACGAAAGGTTTACCAGGACAGGTTGGTGACAGGAAAAATACGACAGGCTTACCAGGACAGGTTGGTGACAGGAAGAATACTGCGGGTTTACCAGAATATGTTGGTGACAGGAAGAATATGACAGGTTTACGAGGACAGGTTGGTGACAGGAAGTTTACCGCTGGTTTACCTGGACAGGTTGGTCACAGGAAGAATACGACAGGTTTACCGGAACAGGTTGGTCACAGGAAGAATACTGCGGGTTTACCAGGACAGGTTGGTAACAGGAGGAATATGACAGGTCTACCAAGACTTGTTGGTGACAGGAAGAATACGATGACAGGTGCGGTGTATTTTTCTCTGCTATTCGTGAGTATAGTGTACTTTTCACTGTGGGTTCCATTACTGGTTACGTGATAAAGTTTTTTTTTTTCCTATGTCCGTGGCAAAATGAAACTAAATAGTCCGTGGCGACAGCATGCGGCGCTAACACCTCTTTTCTACACCGACCTACATAGACTGTAGTGACAGTTTCGCCACGGAGGATTTTTCAATCCTTCGGAGAGGGAAATATGACTGCGTCGAGGGGAGAGGAGGGAAGCATGACAGACACTGTTAGCTGAGAGCTATTTTTTTCCTCTCCATTTCACTATTCTGGGCCACAGCAACGCGTGGCCGGGTACAGCTAGTAAATTATATAAAAATGCAAAGTTCAATAAGAGCTCAGCAGTCAAATATGGCCAATTAACTAAAAACAAATCCAGGCCGGCAACGAAACAAATAATGGTTTGACCTTTGCTGGAGCTACGTGGTTCGTGGTTCGTGTGATTTTCTGACCCAAAAAAAATCACGCTTGGAGTCAAAGGCAACGTTGTGTGCAAATTTGAAAGCAATCGGTTCAGTAGTTTCCGAGATTTTAGCTAGCAACATCGGAAAGTTAAAGTTTTTATTAATATAGATATAAACACACACACACACACACACAAACATACACACCACACACACACACACACCTACACACACCACACACACAAACACTCTCACCGAAAAACAACACACACACACACACCTACACACACCACACACACAAAAACACTCACCGAAAAACAACACACACACACACACACACACACACAGCAAGAGAAACCCTGTGCTTTCGATCGGGTATAATCGTCCATGGTGGAAAACTAACAAACGCGATTCAGATCAATGTAAGCTGTTCACAATCGAAGCTGCTCGTAAAGAACTTTGTGATGCACCAATAACTTCTTAGCAGTTTCATTGTCCTTAAGATGTTATCCCCAAAGATAATGTATGTTAATGTAAGCAGGAGTAGTCACGTGACCACAGACCATGACAAGATGATCATAGCGTAGGTTTCAATTATTCTCTGACCTCAGGCAAGGAGACAGTGAATTGTTGAGTTGAGACCAGCGACTGTCAGATCATCACTCTTGTGTGCGAACAATGTCTCTCGCTGTCTGCCTGCTCTTGTTGACGTGGAGCTCATCCGTGTCAAGCGGTGACTGCCATTTCTTTCAAAATCTGTTTTGCCCCGTATGTGGAAGTAAAAATCCCAACAATAACGTCATCGATGTCTCAGAACCGACCAATCCATCAACGTTTGCAAGTCTGACAACACTGGAGCTAAAGGCGGTATGTGCTGAGCTTTGATTTATGAAATGTTTGTATGTTTCGTGGTTATGATGTAATGCAAATGTTAACTACCAAATCATGTATATTACGTAAAAGTGAGAATCACATAAAATATTGGTCAAGTTATTATAGAAATGATAACTATTAAATGCGTGTGTATTTCTTAAAAGTGAAAATTATTAAAATGTTGGTTACGCTGTTGTATAAAGTAGAACTATCAAATGCGTGTATATTTCGTAAAATTGAGAATTATGTAAAATACAAAAGTATTGGTTACATAGTAGAGGCAGAACCTGAACCTTCATTAGATGAAATTTCATGGGCAATAAGGAGCCTGAAAAATGGTAAATCACCTGGATGTTATGAGATACCAGCTGAATTGATTAAAGCGGGAGGAGAAGAAAGCATAAAAATCTATCATGCATTATGTGAAAAGATATGGAAATATGGTATTTGGCCAAAAGACTGGAAGAGAACTATCTTCATTCCAATACCAAAAAAGGGTGACCTGAAATTATGTACAAACTATCGAACTATTGCCCTGATCAGTCATGCAAGTAAAATTCTACTAAAAATTATAATGAGAAGACTGCATAAGAAAATGGAAGAAGAGATTAATGTAGCTCAGGCTGGATTTAGACAGGGAAGAGGAACAAGAGATCATATATTCAACATGCGTTTAATAATAGAGAAGTGTAGAGAATTTAATGTAAATCTGTTCTTATGTTTTGTGGATTATTCAAAAGCATTTGACTGTGTACAACATCAGAAGCTTTGGGAAATCATGAGGAATATGGGCTTTCCATCACATATAGTGCAGCTCATTAAAATGCTCTATCAAGACCAACAAGCAGCAGTCAGAATAGATGGAGAGACATCAGACTGGTTTGGCATCAAGCAAGGAGTCCGTCAGGGATGTGTGCTGTCACCGTATTTGTTCAACCTGTACGCCGAAAATATAATGAGAAATGTAAGAGATGATATAAACAAGGAACAATATGATGCCCTAAACATCGGTGGTCATGAAATACCAGAAATTCGTTATGCTGATGATACAGTATTACTATCAACAACACAAAATGGTTTAGAAAACTTATTAACCTCACTCCAAAGAAATAGTGAAAATCATAACTTATTTCTTAACATAGCAAAAACAAAGATAAGGCATACAAACAAAACTGCCATGGAGAAGGAAATATCTGTTAATGAGGAAAGATTGAAAGTGGTGGAAAATTTCGAATATCTTGGGTCACTGGTTACCAACAATGGTGACACAATGAAAGAAATTAAACGGCGACTATCAATTGCTCTTCAAAGACTAAAACAACTGAATAAATTATGGAATTGTACAGATAGAATTACAAAGGTCAGCTTTTTAAGAGCATGCATCTTTCCCATTGCAACATACGCCTGTGAGACCTGGACACTTACTAAACAAGCGGAAAAGCGCATAAATGCATTTGAATATAAATGTTACAGACAGGTTCTAACAATATCTTGGGTAAAGAAAAGAACAAATGCATCCATACTTCAAGAGCTGAATATTGAAGAGGGTTGGCTAGTAAAGACAATAAAACAAAGAAAATTGAAATATTTTGGTCACTTAAAACGTCATGGAAGTCTAGAGAGAACAATAATGGAGGGGTATATGCCTGGGAAGAGAGGAAGAGGAAGGCCAAGGAGAAGATGGGTGCAGGATGTGGCAGATGATCTCCAGATGGGTGTATCAGACGCAGGACATCTTGCTCATGATAGGAAGGTTTTCCGGAGGGTTGTTATGGCAGCGAGGTTCCGCGAGGGACATGCTACTGAATGAATGAATGAATGAATTGGTTACATTAATTATCAAAGTGAGAACAAAGAAATTTCATTCGATTAATTAAAAGTAAAAAGTAACTGTCTCTTTGTGTCTTTGGTGCATCTCAGAGTCACAAGTAGTTCTATTGACAGATGCTCGCTCTGTATTGCAAACAAAAACAAAATAATTATCAGCTATAGTTAGACAAGCTGCGATCTATACTAACTCAAAGGCGTCAGGTGACCCAGCTGACTGTGCTCCACTGGATCCCTGCAACATTCTGCCATGTAAAAGAGTCTGCAACTTAGCAAACAATAGAAGACACAGAACTGGATGCACATACGAGTAAAATAACACTTAGGTCAGGAAACCCATTAGAACCTGTGGAAACACGTCCCACGCATGACACAATCCTCAAGATCCAATCAACATCCAGACACATAATTATATTCTTCTTCTTCTTCTTCTTCTTCTTCTTCTTCTTCTTCTTCTTCTTCTTCTTCTTCTTCTTCTTCTTCTTCTTCTTCTTCTTCTTCTTCTTCTTCTTCTTCTTCTTCTTCTTCTACTTCTTTTTCTTCTTCTTCTTCTTCTTCTTCTTCTTCTTCTTCTTCTTCTTCTTCTTCTTCTTCTTCTTCTTCTTCTTCTTCTTCTTCTTCTTCTTCTTTTTCTTCTTTTTCTTCTTTCTCTTCTTCTTCTTCTTCTTCTTCTTCTTCTTCTTTTTCTTCTTCTTCTTCTTCTTCATCTTGCTCTTCTTTTTTTCTTCTTCTTGTTCTTTTGCTTTTCTTCTGCTTCTTCTTCTTCTTCTTTCTTCTTCTTCTGCTTCTTCTTCTTTTTCTTCTTTCTCTTCTTTTTCTTCTTCTTCTTCTTCTTCTTGTTCTTCTTTTTCTTCTTCTTCTTCTTCTTCTTCTTCTTCTTCTTCTTCTTCTTCTTCTTCTTCTTCTTCTTCTTCTTCTTCTTCTTCTTCTTCTTCTTTCTTCTTTATTTCTTCTTCTTTTTCTTCTTCTTCTTCTTCTTCTTCTTCTTCTTGTTCTTCTTTTTCTTCTTCTTCTTCTTCTTCTTCTTCTTCTTCTTCTTCTTCTTCTTCTTCTTCTTCTTCTTCTTCTTCTTCTTCTTCTTCTTCTTCTTCTTCTTTATCTTCTTTTTCTCTACCTCATCCTCTAGTCCCGCTCTACCTCTCAGCGTCATGTTTAGAAGAAACATCTAGTGCCAGCCTTGGTATGTGCTGTATTTACCGCCTCGAACATTCCATTTTCTTTACTGTAACCGAAAGCAATAATACAAATTAATATAAGATGAAGAACTCCACAGGGGGAGCATGCACAGCAGTGTAACCATCATTAGCAAAAGGGTCCCTCGTCGACAATTGTTTCGGCCCATTAACTTCTTAGACAATCTCAGAGGGTAGGCCGACCTTGGGCTATGACTCCCAAGCCTATATATATATATATATATATATATATATATATATATATATATATATATATATATATATAGTATATATAGGTATATATAGTAATGTAAAGGACCTCTTTCCCCGCCTTCAGGAGTATTGGGGCCCTAGGACTAAATCTAGATTTTACAGACCAATTAGCACGTACTTGCTGATGTGGTTAGTATCACGCCAGCCACCTTTACTTCCTAGGACTGTTTCTGTTACTTGGTAATAAGTTCAGTGACATTATTCAACTGTCGGATTGTTCATGAATATAACTACAACTTCGATGTCCATCAGATACGTGCATATGTGCAGAATGACCCCAACATCAAAGTGTCCAAGCCTGAAAATGCCACAATCGTCACCAGTTATCTTTTCTCTGCCGACCTGCTTCTTCCACCAAAGGCCGACGTACTGAAGTTTCTGGATAAGAACGGTAAATTGTCTTCAGTCCAACAGTTTTATCCGATACAATCATCTCGTTGTCCACTAGAGAAAACATGTATACACCCCCTAGCCCCGAGAGAGCCGTTTTCCCGGCTTATAAGGATTTAGGTTGACGATATCTTTGGACAGTCTTCAGTATCCCTGTATGACAGACAGCTTTAGTACTGTTTACAACTTGGTAGTGTCTGTATATTATGTTTATGATTACATTTACTCATACAATTTTCTTAAATATTATGTGTGGTCAACAAAATAGAGTATTAACACTTGTGGATTTGCCTGAATGTTTTATAATTTCATAGTTACTTTATATTATGACATTACTCTCATTGACTAAGTGTCCAACAACAATTGTGTATCTTGAAAGGAAAGAAAATAATTAATATGATTCATTTATATTTAGAGGTTAGTGTATTTAGTGATGTGCATACACAACTCATGGTTTAGCACCAGCAACAACAACAACAAAAAAAAAAAATTTAGAGCATGGATCTTCCATATAGCAACCTACGGACGTGAGTCATGGACTATTACTGAGTCCTTAAGAATAAGAACAGAGGTTTTTGAGCTGAAATGCTATAGAACTATTTTCAGAGTACATGGACAAGAGAAGAGAACAAATACTGTCATTTCAAAAGATCTGAACATAAAGGAAGATTGTTTAATAAACAGTATTTTGTCTCAGAAGTTTAAATAATTTAGACATATCAAGCGAGATGGTGGATTGTGGAAAAAATAATAGCAGAAGGCATGGTACTATGAAGAAGGGGCAGGGGCCGATCAACACGACGATGAGCGCTGGTAATAAAAAGACTTCCGGTTAAAATGGACGCTAGACAGCGGCGCCGTTCGGAACAGAGGCAAATTTTTTGCTTCTGCCGGACGGTGGCCGATGCATTTTTGCTCCATTTGTAGACTGGATATAGTTTCGTCGCCCAGCTTCTGAGTTGAATGCATGGCGTGACCCTGTGAGCTGCGGATTGCATTTAGAATGTTTTTTTCGACTGTGACCAACGTGGTGGTGTGAATTGTAGATTCAGAAAATGGCGCGATGCCTGTCGTTCAATGCTGGCGGGGCCCGTATTAAAATTGATCACGCGGACAACTGCTGATCTGTTGACGACAAGTTCTGCTATCATCAATGATGAACTGCATTTCTAATGTTAGACTGTTTGTGTTAGCACTCCGGATGGCTACCATATGCTTTAATGCGAGTGTATGCTAGATATGCTGAGACAACAGTCTGTCAATCTTTCCACAAGGGACTGTGATAGACATTCTGAGTGTTTTTCGCTGGCACAGGAGTGGAGCAAAGATGGGGCAACCCGTTTGCTATGAAGCTGAAACTAAGACTACCAGACTACCAGACTACCAGACTGGTAATAAGTGATTCCTTGAATATGAAATTGCACGATAAATCTGGTAATCTGGTAATCCTAGTTTCAGCTTCATAGGAAACGGGTCACCCCATAGTTGCTCAGCTCCTGTGCCATCGAAAAACACACGTAGCTCACAGTGTCATACCATGCACTCAACTCAGAAGCTAGGCGACGAAACTATATGCTTTCGGTCTACAAATGGAGCAAAAATGCGACGGCCACAGCCTGGCAGAAGTTTAAAAAAAAACATTTGCCACGGCTTTAAAAAAAAAGTGGCCGTGCCTAGCGTCAATTTTGACCCGAAGCAATATGTCAGGGTTAATAAATGGTCGCCCAGCAGTACTCTCACTATTAGCTGGGAAAGGGACTTAGGACATTAAATCCATCAGCAGGCGTCGCCCCTACAACGACCTGACTGCCTTCGTTAACGACTGTTCACCCAACAGCCATGCAGTTCTTTGGCACGAAGGAGACACCTTGAACTTGGGTTTCGGAATGCCGACTTCCTACAAAATGTTATTTTGTGTTTTGTTCTCACAATCGACGTCACTGCACATTGGGCACACCCATGCGTGCGCAGTCCTCCGAAGCAGCAGCCACTCCAAATTACTTCTACAAATTGTCCCCATGAGAAGCTGGTTATATTGTCTCCTTTCTCGACGTCGAGGACGGCAAAGACGTGCTTCGCCATGCTTAACTCCTATGTCACGCAATCGTGTTAGTGTCAGGGATTCGTCATTATTCACTAGCCCAGTACGTACAGCGTTGACGATATCTGCTCTGTCCATGCTTGCCAGTTGGTCGGCTCGCTCATTTCCCTTTACGCCCGCATGACCCGGTGTGTAGATCCAGGTTATGGAAGTTAAGTGCGATTTCTGAATGCTTTATATCCACTCAGAGCGCATAATGCCTGTTTCTATCTTTTGAAGCATATTCATTGAGTCTGAGACAATCACTGCTTGTGTGGCGGTTTGCTCGGATACCCATGCTAAAGCTCTAGAAGCAGCGGCTATTTCCATGGTTATGCTTGACGTGGTTGTCTGGTAAGCGCCGCTGTCCTCATGTATTGTTTTCCTCCTTCTTTGCGCTGTGTATGCCCATGCTGACCTTGATCCGCGCTTCACGGATCCATCTGTGTAGATGATGATATCTTCTGGGTCTGAATGCTGATCTGTCAGTTCCCTTACTTCTGTGTCTATGGCCGCAGGAATCTGATCCCGACAGTACTTTCCGAGTGTGATGACAACCTTAGAGATGCCATGCATGTCTACCGGTGTATCCATCCATTCTTTTCCGTGCCTGATAACGTCTAGGTCACACACCTGCTGGATCAAATCCTCAGCCTTTGCCATCCAAGAGCGGCCTCTTTTGAGACGCGTTCCTTTTGTATCGTAAATAGCTTTGTGCAATGGGTGGTTAACGTCTGCCGATACCCTCATGTAAGCCTTGACTTGTGCCACTTTGTATCTGCTAGTCATCGTCGGCAAACCCAGGACATGACGCATGGCGTTGCAGGAGGTGTCTTTTGTGCAGCCGAGTATGAGTCTCATGGCCTCATTTTGTACTCGGTCCAGTCTTTCTAGCTGGGTTTTGCTGACAGTGAGGAGGCCAAGACCATAGTTAATGACGCTAAGCACAAGCCCTTGATAGAGAAGGACAAGTAGGCGTTGTTCAATATCAGCTGCTGCTAGCACCTTGAGTGCTGTCAGACCTTTTCTGGCTCTAAGTATGACGTTGTCTACGTGGCATTTGTATGACAAGCATATGTCAAATGTCATGCCCAGGTATTTCATGGTGTCCGCTCTCTCGATGTCCACACCACATATGCTTACGACTGGCGTTGGTGTACTGACGATGTAAGTATTTAGAGAGAACCATGTTAAGGAGGCTTTGGACGGGTTCACTTGAGCTTTTGATTCGTCGCACCACTCACTAAGTCTGTCTAGTTCGTGTTGTAGTGTGGTTGTAATTTCCTGCCTGTTTCTACCTCGACGGTAAACAAGGATCTCATCTGCATACAACATTGTTCTACCTAGACCAACGCTTTGTGCACTCGTGACTCCTGCTGTGTACACATTGAAAGCACAGGCGACAATGGTGATCCCTGGGGGCAGACCCATGAATTGCACGATAAGATAGAGCTGGCGATAAAACTAGTTTCTTTCTGGTAGACCTTGGTGGGAGCGACGTTCTGCAAAGGTATTGCTACGTGATAATGTTGATGATGATTACAACAACTCAGCTCTAGTACGTCTCCTTCTACTTCTTCGCGTTCACCAGCTGTCAACTCCAGCGGAAAGTTTTGGTTGTTCGTCGACTTCTAGACTCTAGCCCTCTTCAAAATCCTGAGTGTTTCGTTCACATCAGTTGTACAGATCTGACTCATCTCTATGCATACTGCTGGTTCCTTATCTCGAAAAAGCTCACAATTAGTTAAAGACCAATGTCCACAAGTGGTCGAAACTAACAGACTTTTCGAAGGAGTTTGCAGCTGGTGAACGAGAAGAAGAGAAAGGGCACAGAACATTGTCCTACAATCTATCAGCTGATATGTGCATTTCATCATCATCAGAACAGAACGTCGCTCTCGTCACCACACATCTAAACATCTAAATTTTTTAGCCACTTTTCCAGCCCTGAGAGCTTTGATAGCTAATGCATCTTCAATGTCGTGTATTCACCTTCACAGAGGTCTGCCTCTACCTCCTTGTCCGGAAACAATTCCCTCCATCACCATTCTTTCCAGGCCACCATAAATTACGTATAAAGTACCCCGACATTTGGGACCAGATGCGGTTTATAAGCTAAATCTCCTCGAGGCTCAGATCGTGTCGGTTGTCGGTGTTTCTCTTCTTTATGGTCCCTGGTATTCTAAGAATGTTTCTGTAGCAGTTCGTCTCGAATTTTTCCTGCACTGGTTAAGTGAGAAACATTGTATTTCAACTCGCTTGTAGGTTCTCCATCCTGTTTAATATCAGTGTGTCTTTTTTTTCTGGTTCACTAGTGAGCTTAATATTCAAATATGTGCCATTTTCGATCGCTTGGTTATCGATTTTAATACGCGCATTGGTGTGTTGTATTCACTGGGCACGTAAGAAATATTCATTTCAACGCTGTAGTTCTTGGTGCTGAGAATTAATATTGTTCGAAACCCTGTAGGATGTTGGAAAGGCGAACAGTGGCGTCTTTATATCTGAGTTATGGGATAGGTCTACCGCCAATTCTGAATGGATCATCACCAACAATTTCTCATCATATTCTCAGCATATTTGCTGACAAGTGATTGGGAGATAAGGCATCTCAAACTCGCCAGATGTTTTCCAAGCTACTCTGATTGCTGCTTGTTGTACATGGTAAAAACATTGTGTTATAAAGACCACATTTGTTATGAATCTCATGCATTTCAATGCAGCTACAATTGTTAGCGTTGAACAGTCACACGCCCTGCTGTAGACTACAAACATTGGTAGAGGTCTATTTTATACTTTCTTCACTTCATAAAGAGGATTCTCGTATTGAAAATATGATTCCTTGTTCCGTTCTCGAGTCTGCCCGTGCTTCCGGTAATTTATATTCCATTTTCTTTTCCCGTTTCATCGCTCAAGATTTGCAGAAAAATGTTGCAGGCATGACCGATCTGAGCTTTTTCATGATAACTGAAACATCATTTGAGATTTCTCTTTTTTTTTTTTTTTTTTTCGAGAACGAACTAACAAAACGAACGAATAAGCAAACACACTTTTTTTTTCAAGGGTTAAGAATTGGACACGCATGCTCGTTCTTACAAGCCACACATGGCTCACACATCGTTTTAGCAGATAATAATTTTCGTTATTTTTGGCAGTCTAATTCCAATTCCAGTTGACGAACAAACATTCCAAACTTGATCCTTTTTTAGACCGTCCGGAGGCGGAGCTGCTGCTTGTGTAGGCTGGTGCTGGAGGGTCCCTGCGCCACGACTGGGGCGGCTTCAGGTGTTGGCGCCACGACTGGGGCGGCTTCAGGTGTTGGCGCCACGACTGGGCGGCTTCAGGTGTTGGCGCCACGACTGGGGCGGTTTCAGGTGTTAGCGCCACGACTGGGGCGGCTTCAGGTGTTGGCGCCACGACTGGGCGGCTTCAGGTGTTGGCGCCACGACTGGGGTGGCTTCAGGTGTTGGCGCCACGACTGGGGCGGCTTCAGGTGTTGGCGCCACGACTGGGGCGGCTTCAGGTGTTGGCGCCACGACTGGGGCGGCTTCAGGTGTTGGCGCCACGGAAAGGGTGGCTTCTGGGGAAGCTACCTCCTGTGTTGGTGATCCTGGTATGCCTTTGTTGGTGGCGCTGGACCAATCATCTCTCTTGAGCCTGTCAGCAGTGGATTGTAGGCTGCTGTTTTCCATGTTTTGGATCAGTTAGCACTGTTCCCAATTTTCACACATAGCCCATGACATATACTGACAACCACATCACTCACTCCCTTAGCCAAACTCCTTGTATTAAATCTGCTGCTATGTAATCTTAACCTGCAGATTTTCTTCCTTCCCCCCTTCTTTTTTAATCAGACTTTTTTCACTATTTTTTCCTCGAACATTGGTTCGGGCTGTTTCTCTACAACTTCAGCTGTTCCATCTTACCTGTAAGTTGTATCGTTTTACACTTCTCTGGAATACTCCTTCCACTTATCTAGTATTTCTTTCTTCTCCGTAATGCTATCAGTTACGTTTTTGGTCATTTATTCCATTTAATGATGGTTCCAGTTTGTTTGTTGACATTCTCATCTTGTTGATACTCACGGCGTGGCGTAGCTGCTAGAGGCCAGCCTTGGGCCTAAAGGTTGTAGGTAAAAATACGAATCCAACTGGATTTTTCAAATAATGACCTTGCCTCTCAGATCAACGCAGCCTAACCTGAATAGCAGATGGGAAGTATAGGCAGCCGGCGTGATTGTGACCACATCACCTACCGCATGCCAATTGGTCTATAAAATGTAATTCTAGCACTATATGCCCAATAATGTTTTGAAGAAGGGTCGTTTACTTTTTTACTCGACTAACGAGTTCTGGTCATTTTCTACAGGTCGGCAGCCAACCAGAAGGGCCCGTGTGGTTGTATTCAGGGGAGACAAACAGCCACCAGTAGTAGAAGAATACGTGTGCTCTCCCCTGCCCAACATCAGCAAGTGCGAGCTGTTGCAACTGTCCTCAAGGAAAAACCCGGTCAACTTCAACTTCAGGTTTGTGGTTTATCGATTATCATAATCCTGTCTTACACAGGGATCTGCAGTGCTGTAGCGGCTAGACGCTGGCCAGTTAATCCGAAGGTCTTCGGTTCGAGTCCGTACGTGATATGAATTTTTTCTTTCCTTAAGTGGGTACGCGATACAAGTCTTGGGAAGTAAACGCGGCCAGAGGGATGTTTACCACTTCATCCACCAAGTGCCGATTGGTCAGTTGTTGTAGCAGCCCAGGTAAACTGTTCTAGATGGTTGTTGTTGTAGCAGCCCAGGTAAACTGTGCTAGATGGTAGTTGTTGTACCAGCCCAGGACAACTGTGCTAGATGGTTGTTGTTGTACCAGCCCAGGACAACTGTGCTAGATGGTTGTTGTTGTAGCAGCCCGATACAACTGTGCTAGATGGTTGTTGTTGTAGCAGCCCAGTACAACTGTGCTAGATGGGTGTTGTTGTAGCAGCCCAGGTAAACTGTGCTAGATGGTTGTTGTTGTAGCAGCCCAGGTAAACTGTGCTAGATGGTTGTTGTTGTACCAGCCCAGGACAACTGTGCTAGATGGTTGTTGTTGTACCAGCCGAGGACAACTGTGCTAGATGGTTGTTGTTGTAGCAGCCCGATACAACTGTGCTAGATGGTTGTTGTTGTAGCAGCCCAGTACAACTGTGCTAGATGGGTGTTGTTGTAGCAGCCCAGGACAACTGTGCTAGATGGTTGTTGTTGTAGCAGCCCAGGACAACTGTGCTAGATGGTTGTTGTTGTAGCAGCCCAGTACAACTGTGCTAGATGGGTGTTGTTGTAGCAGCCCAGTACAACTGTGCTAGATGGGTGTTGTTGTAGCAGCCCAGTACAACTGTGCTAGGTGGGTGTTGTTGTAGCAGCCCAGGACAACTGTGCTAGTTGGGTGTTGTTGTAGCAGCCCAGTACAACTGTGCTAGATGGGTGTTGTTGTAGCAGCCCGATACATTTGTGCTAGATGGTTGTTGTTGTAGCAGCCCAGTACAACTGTGCTAGATGGTTGTTGTTGTAGCAGCCCGATACAACTGTGCTAGATTGGTGTTGTTGTAGCAGCCCAGTACAACTGTGCTAGATGGGTGTTGTTGTAGCAGCCCGATACAACTGTCCTAGATGGATGTTGTTGCAGTTGCCCTGTGCAACTAGGCTAGATTGCTGTTGGTGTAGTACTAAGATGTTAATCCTACAGACTGCAATCTTTGGGGGAAATAAGTGTGAAAAAAGAAGTAAAAGCAAGCCAGCCACTTCACCATGTTAAAGGTAGTTCCAGGTCAACACCTTACCCGCACAGGACCTCAACCTGACACAGGCTGGTGTTGTCCGCACCAGTGTACCAATTATACCTTCTTTAAAAGTTGAGTAAGGTATCCATTATTTCACCTGTTGATTTGCCATCAAGGTTTATTTGACAGTTTCTGGGGTAATTAAAACAACAGGTAGCACCCTAGAGACTAATTTACCACACACAAAAACAAGTGGTCTCAGTGTCCTAACGCGTGGGACACTCCTCATGCACCAATCTGAACTTTTCGTTGGAGTCGACAACAAATGAGTGAGTGAAACTGAATCACCTCTAGGACAGTTGACTGAGCCGTTAACACCTGGTGTCACTAACTGCAGTGCCTTATTACTCGAATAAAGATCCCCTAGGTCAAGTCCCAGAAACCCCGTTCAACAATAAGTTTATATTGGGCTCCCTGATCTTACGAACTAACTAAAATTCCAGCCTGGGGAAAGACGGAAAAAGGGGGGGGGGGGGGTCTTATACAACATCTGGTAGAAGATAAAGGATAGTTTAGTTATGTTTAAAAATGTACTGAAATATAGAGACTTGAACAACAAAACAAAGAAACACTTTTCCCTTTCAGAACTAGATTAGAAAGTTGTGATAGGATGGTTGCTTGTGTTTTTTTAAGACTGTGATCTCAGAGTGAGCACCAACAATAACGCTCCTCTCTGCGCGTGTTTACGTCAATGCTAATTTCTGATGACGTCGCATTATAAGAAGGTGAAAAGGACGTAGACTTTTACTTTTATTCATGTTGACACTGCTACAATTACAAGAAGGGGACAGAGCAAGTGTGGGAATGTCCCAATTCACGGGATATCAATTCTTCATTCAATAATTCATTTATTTAATCATTTATTTTACTTCTTTATTAGTAGACTGACATTTAAGAAAGAAAAGAAAAACAATTTCAAATAAAAAGACAGATGTATTATGTGTATGTGTGTTTTGTGTGTGCGTGTGTGTGTGTGTGTGTGTGTGTGCGTGTACATGTGTGTGGCCCGCGCCAGTAAGAACATCATGTACGCATCTGGGTGTTCATGTGTGTGTGTGTGTGTGTGTGTATGTGTGTAATCCGCGACAGTCAGACGTTTAGGGGAGAACATCATGTACATGTGTGTGTGCGTATGTGTGTGTGTGTGTGTGTGTGTGTGTGCGTGTGTGCGCGCGCGTGTGTGTGTTTGTGTAGTCCACGACAGTCAGTTGTTCAGGGAGAACATCATGTACATGTGTGTGTGCGTATGTGTGTGTGTGTGTGTGTGGTCCGCGACATTCAGTCGTTCAGGGAGAACATTGTGTAAGTGTGTGCGTGTGTGTGTGCGTATGTGTGTTTGTGTGTGGTCTGCGACAGTCAGTCGTTCAGGAAGAACATCATGTACGTGTGTGTGTGTGTGTGTGTGTGTGTGTGTGTGTGTGAAGTCCACGACAGTCAGTCGTTCAGGGAGAACATCATGTACGTGTGTGTGTGCGGTGCGTGTGTGTGTGCGTACGTGTGTGTGTGTGTGTGGTCCGCGACAGTCATTCGTTCAGGGAGAAAATCGTGTACATGTGTGTGTGCGTGTGTGTGTGCGCGTGTGTGTGTGTGTGTGTGTGTGTGTGTTCCGCGACAGTCAGACGTTCAGGGAAGAACATAATGTACGTGTATGTGTGTGTCTCTGTCTATATGTGTGTTGTCCGCTACAGTCAGACGTTCAGGGAAGAACATAATGTACGTGTATGTGTGTGTCTCTGTCTATATGTGTGTTGTCCGCTACAGTCAGACGTTCAGGGAAGAACATAATGTACGTGTATGTGTGTGTCTCTGTCTATATGTGTGTTGTCCGCTACAGTCAGACGTTCAGGGAAGAACATAATGTACGTGTATGTGTGTGTTTCTGTCTATATGTGTGTGTTGTCGGCGATAGTCAGACGTTCAGGAAGAACATCATGTACGTGTCTGGGTGTTCATGTGTGTGCGCGTGTGTGTATGTTTGTTGTCCACGACAGTCAATCGTTCAGGGGAGAACATCATGTACGTGTGTGTGTGTGTGTGTATATTTGTATGAGTGGTCTGCGACAGTCAGTCGTTCAGGTGAGAACATCATTTACGTGTTTGGGTGTGCATGTGTGTGTGCGTGTGTGTGCACATATGTGTGAGTGTGTTTGTATAAGTGTGGTCTGCGACAGGTGAGAACATCATGCACGTGTATGGGTGTGAATGTATGTGTTCGGCGACAGTCAGTCGATCAGGTGAGAACATCATGTACTCACTTTCTGGCAGGCCTGGCGTTGAATTGGAGTTGCAAGCTGCCCTGCCACTGATCTACCAGCTGGATCAAAAAGTAAATTGTAGCTTTACTGTTTGTACAGTTTTTTTATCGTGTTGTTTGTTGACGGGCAATGTGTTATTGTAGACGGGCAATGTGCTGTGTGTAGACATGCAATGTGTTGTCTGTGTTATCTGTAGACGGGCAATGTGTTGTCCGTAGACGGTCAATGTGTTGCCTGTAGACAGGCAATGTGTTATCTGTAGACGGGCAATGTGTTATCTGTAGACGGGCAATGTGTTATCTGCAGAAGGGCAACGAGTTATCTGTAGACGTTCAATGTGTTGTCTGTGGACCGGCAATGTGTTGTCGGTAGACGGGCAATGCGTTATCTGTAGACGGGCAATGTGTTGTCTGTAGACGGGCAATGCGTTATCTGTAGACGGGCAATGTGTTGTCTGTAGACGGGCAATGCGTTATCTGTAGACGGGCAATGTGTTGTCTGTAGACGGGCAATGCGTTATCTGTAGACGGGCAATGTGTTATATGTAGACGGGAAATGTGTTGCCTGTAGACAGGCAATGCGTTATCTGTAGACGGGCAATGTGTTGTCTGTAGACGGGCAATGCGTTATCTGTAGACAGGCAATGTGTTGTCTGTAGACGGGCAATGCGTTATCTGTAGACGGGCAATGTGTTATATGTAGACGGGAAATGTGTTGCCTGTAGACAGGCAATGTGTTATCTGTAGACGGGCAATGTGTTATCTGTAGAAGGGCAACGAGTTATCTGTAGATGTGCAATGTGTTGTCTGTTTACCGGCAATGTGTTGTCTGTAGATGGGCAATACGTTGTCTGTAGAAGGGCAATTTTTTATCTCTCTAGTGTATAGACGGGCAATGTGTTATCTGTGTAGTCTGTAGACGGGCAATATGTTGTCTGTAGACGGGCAATGTGTTATCTGTATTTTTTGTAGACGGGCAATGTATTGTCTTTGTTTTGTTTAGTCGGGCAATGTGTTGTCTTTGTTTTGTTTAGACGGGCAATGTGTTGTCTGTGTTGTGTGTAGACAGGCAATGTGTTGTCAGTGTTGTGTGTAGACAGGCAATGTGTTGTCTGTTCAGTCTGTAGACGGGCAATGTGTTGTCTGTAGACGGGCAATGTGTTGTCTGTGTTGTGTGTAGACGGTCGATGTGTTGTCTGTGTTGTGTGAAGACGGACAATGTCTTGTATGTGTAGTCTGTAGACGGGCAATGTGTTGTCTGTAGACGAGCAATGTGTTGTCTGTGTTTTTTTTTGTAGACGGGCAAAGTGTTGTCTTTGTTTTATGTGGACAGGCAATGAGTTGACTGTGTTGTGTGCAGACGGGCAATGTATTGTCTGTAGAAGGGCAATGTGTTATCTGTGTTGTGTGTAGACGGGCAATGTGTTGTCTGTGTTGTCTGTAGACGGGCAATGTGTTTTCTGTGTTGTCTGTAGACGGGCAATGTGTTGTCTGTGTTGTCTGTAGACGGGCAATGTGTTTTCTGTGTTGTGTGTAGACGGGCAATGTCTTGTGTGTTGACGGGCAATGGGTTGTCTTTGCTTTGTGTAGACGGGCAATGGGTTGTCTTTGCTTTGTGTAGACGGGCAATGGGTTGTCTTTGCTTTGTGTAGACGGGCAATGTGTCGTCTTTGATTTGTGTGGACGGGTAATGGGTTATATGTGTTGTGTGTAAACGGGCAATGTGTTGTGTGTTGACGGGCAATGGGTTGTCTTTGCTTTGTGTAGACGGGCAATGGGTTGTCTTTGCTTTGTGTAGACGAGCAATGGGTTGTCTTTGCTTTGTGTAGACGAGCGATGGGTTGTCTTTGCTTTGTGTAGACGAGCAATGGGTTGTCTTTGCTTTGTGTAGACGAGCAATGTGTCTTCTTTGATTTGTGTGGACGGGTAATGGTCTTTGTGTGTAGACGGGCAATGTGTTGTGTGTAGGCAGGCGATGGGTTGTCTTTGCTTTGTGTAGACTGGCAATGTGTTGTCTTTGATTTGTGTAGACTGGCAATGTGTTGTCTTTGCTTTGTGTAGACTGGCAATGTGTTGTCTTTGATTTGTGTAGACGGGCGATGGGTTGTCTTTGATTTGTGTAGACGGGCGATGGGTTGTCTTTGATTTGTGTAGACGGGCAATGTGTTGTCTTTGATTTGTGTAGACGGGCAATGCGTTGTCTTTGATTTGTGTAGACGGGCGATGGGTTGTCTTTGATTTGTGTAGACGGGCAATGTGTTGTCTTTGATTTGTGTAGACGGGCAAATTTTTTGTCTTTGATTTGTGTAGACAGGCAATGTGTTGTCTTTGATTTGTATAGACGGGCAATGTATTGTCTGTAGAAGGGCAATGTGTTGTCTGTGTTGTGTGTAGACGGGCAGTGTGTTGTCTTTGCTTTGTATAGACGGGCAATGTGTTGTCTGTGTTGTGTGTAGACGGGCAATGTGTTGTCTTTGCTTTGTATAGACAGGCAATGTGTTGTCTGTGTTGTGTGTAGACGGGCAATGTGTTGTCTTTGCTTTGTATAGACGGGCAATATGTTGTGTGTAGACGGGCAATGTGTTGTCTGTGTTGTGTGAAGACGGGCAATGTGTTGTCTGTGTTGTCTGTAGACGGGCAATGTGTTGTCTGTGTTGTGTGTAGACGGGCAATGTGTTGTCTGTGTTGTGTGTAGACGGGCAATGTGTTGTCTGTGTTGTGTGTAGACGGGCAATGTGTTGTCTGTGTTGTCTGTAGACGGGCAATGTGTTGTCTGTGTTGTGTGTAGACGGGCAATGGGTTGTCTTTGCTTTGTGTAGACGGGCAATGTGTTGTCTGTGTTGTGCGTAGACGGGCAATGTGTTGTCTGTGTTGTGTGTAGACGGGCAATGTCTTGTTTTTGATTTGTGTGGACGGGTAATGGGTTATCTGGTTTGTCTTTACACGGGTGATATGTTATCTGTATTGTGTGTAAACAGCTAATGTGTTTTTTTTTTTTTGGGGGGGGGGGGTGGGGGGGTGTCTTGTGTATAGACGGGGAAATTTGTTAGCTGTGTAGTGTGTAGAAAGGAGAGGGGGGGGGGGATTTTGTTTTGTGTATAGACTGTTTATGTGTCTAGACCAGAAATTAGTTGCCTGTGTTGTGTGTTGACGGAATATTTGTTAAGTTTGTTGTGTAAACGAGGCGCAGCTGTCTGAACGGTTGTAATGCTAGGGAGAGAGCCAATTTCGAATCCTTGGTTAGGATTGGGATTTTGTTTTTCTGCTGAGGGCAAAATAAAACCTCATCTGCACAGTCGGGGAGGCAGCCCTAGCCATGCGGCAGTATATCCTCAGGCTCAGTGACCCCTGCCTACAACGCAAATGTGGTAAAATCAAGGCAGTAATTGGCAGTTGTGTAAACACACTTTTTTTTGTTCGTCAAGACACACCTTTTGTTGTTTATTCTGTGTACAAGCAGGCAATTTGGGATAATATTATATGTTCTTAAAAGCTTTTTGTCGACAGTGTTTTTTGGAGAGAAGGCAATTTGTCGACAGTGTTTAATATATACAGACAGGCATTTTGTCGACAGTGTTATATGTACGGACAAGCAATTTGTCGACAGTGTTATATGTACAGACAAGCAGTTTGTCGACAGTGTTATGTGTACAGACAGACAATTTGTCCACAGTGTTTTATGTACGGACAGGCAATTTGTCGTCAGTGTTATAAGTACAGACAGGCAATTTGTCGACAGTGTTATATGTACAGACATGCAATTTGTCGACAGTGTTATAAGTACAGACAGGCAATTTGTCGACAGTGTTATAAGTACAGACAGGCAATTTGTCGACAGTGTTATATGTACAGACAGGCAATTTGTCGACAATGTTTTATGTACAGACAAGAAATTAGTCGAGTCTTGTGTGTTTGCATCTGTGTAATTGGGGTTGCGAACTCGCTTCGTATTTTTGTATTGCTATGGCAATCCTTCTTTTGATTTGAAACAATCTTCATTCTTAATTACTATAGAGCCTAGATATTTTCAATTCTTCATCATTTATTGTTACTTGTGTGTGACAGCAAGTTAAATATATTTGTAATGTTATTATAATTCAATCTGTTTGTAATGTTGTCATGTTATAACATTTTTGTGATGCTGATAATGTGTTCGTAGTTTTGTTTGGTTGTAAATTGCTTTTAATTTTGTTGTACTTTATCTTAGTTGTGATGTTAAGTTACAACGTGTTTTTTATGTTAAGTTATAATTTAGTTATAATGTGTTTGTTTTTTTGTCATGTTGTAACTTTTGTGTAATGTTGTTATCTGAAGACTTGTTTGCAATGCTGTTATATGTTTTTTTGGTGATGTATTTAAGTTGTTTTCTTTATGGTCATGTTGTAAAGTGTTTGTAATGTTGTAATACAATGAAGTCTTTAGGCAAGGTTGCTATATAATAACTTGAATGTAATTTCGTTATATTGAAATGTGCTTGTAATTGTGCTTTGTAAAGGCTTGTTTGTAATTTTGTTTTAATATAATTTGTTTCGAATGTTATTACATTATAGTGTGACAGCTAAAAGAAAACGAAGGAAACCATCAGAAGTAGGGGAGATAAAGGACAATTGTGATTGGGACACAATGTAATAGTTCTCTGCCTAACAGCAAAAACAGGAAAGTAAAGAAAAGACAAGGGGTTCTGCGCAGAGATCCTAGAATATTCCACCAGAATCTAGACAAGAATAGCTGTGTAGTGAGTTACTTGACGAAATCTAACTACATGGCTACATACACCTAGACGAACCATGTGCACAGACTACAGATCCAAAATTAAATCAACCAAATGAATTATTATCATCCCATTAAACAGCTGTTTATTTTACTGAACTGAACACAGAATTAACGTCTGCTTCACAAATAAAACATTAACAACAACCAACGTGCTCGACATGAATCTAAAGTACTGATTATCAGATAACAAGGAAATATGATAATGACACCATACTCTCAGCGAGATTACCCCAACCATGACAAAAACCAAAACATATTAAACATGTACGTTAAGCTTCGATATGCCATTAAACTAACAAATCACATAGCGACCTGCTATTGAACGATCTCCTAGTAAGAATACACAATGGAAATCGAATTTAAGAACACCTAAAAAAATTGAAACGTACCATTATCGCGATCACGAGCCAGTCTAGCGTCGCTCGGCCGGTCCGATCTGACACACCTGTACGTTAAAGACTAAGTACAGTCAGACAACGGCAGACAGGGTGTCTGACCCTACCGAGCCGACCACAGAGCGACAGCCAAATAGACCCCTAAAAGACTAACAAGGCCTATATTAACTGATGGCTGACCAGTTTCTTAGTGTTTAAAAACCAGGGTATCCGCCAAAGAAACCAAAATCGTCAAGCTGCTGAACAGCAGCAGTCTTGATGTTCTCGGGCCTATTACAATAGCTTGCTTGAAATTTTGGTGTGTTTTAATATGTTTGTATTTTTAGTATATTATAACTTGCTTGTGATGTTGTTAAATTTTAACTTGTTTATGATGTTGTTAGAATTAAACTTGTTTATAATGTTGTTATATCGCAACTCGCTCTTATTGTTGTTATACTTTAACTTCTCTGTAATGCTGTCGTATTGTGACTTGCTGGTATTAATTTATTTATATCTTGTTTTTAAATTTGTTATTTTAGAACTTGCTTGTAATATTGTTTTATTAGAACTTCATTGTAATGTTTTACATACATAACATGTTTCTAATGTTTTTATAACAGTTAGGTCCGATCTTGCTGGAAAGTTTTGGAGAAAGATTCACTAACTGCACCCAAGGACGCGACTGTCTGACGATCTCAAAAGCCCCAGTTGGAAGTGGCGTGCTACAGGACAGCTCACAGAGGTACTAGCGAAGCAGGTGTCCCAGTTTAGGGCAACGATGAGTTAGGCTTCTAGTGTCAAACAATAATGCATAAAAGATTGTTTTGTGATCTGACACCTTTCTGTTTTTCCAGACAATGTGTTATAGTTTAAGCATGGGACTCATTGCCCACGGCAGTGGCGAGTGTGACTAGAAAAACCTTCTCGTGTAGCAAACCAATTGTAGAGCACATTTCAGAACCACTATTGTCAGTGGTTGCATTTAAAAACCTTTTTATTGTTATTTTACACGGTCAGCTCTGCATCTATGTGTAATAATTTTCTCCATATGCAAGACAGTTTATGATATTCTCTTCCCATGAACCTACCTCTATACTTGTATCATTCATGTCCGGCTTGCATTGCATACACCGAGCATATGTTCAAACAGTATCCCGTGATTTTAATAAAGCACAGTGCTATATAATTCCTTAGCGTCGAATCGTTTATATCTGTGTTGCCTGGTTAGTTCATCACTGGCATGTAGTCAGTTTAACTTGTACAACCTGGCACGGTGGTAGCAAAGATTTCACATGCAACGATAAAGATATGAGAAAGCAGCGAGCACGCGACAGACGAACGAACGAACAAACCAACAAACATTATTGTAAAGTCACGTACTGAGCAGGCGCCCCGTCTTATATTGGGCTCTCCCAAACCCGACCTGTATTTATTCAATAAAATATGTTATGGACATAACAAATTACAATATGAATAAAAAGTTAAAAACAAAACAAAAAACAATCGGCGGTAAATGCATGCACACATAAACACACACACATATTTTCGCTCACACACACATACACACACACACACACAGACACACACACACATCGCAAAAAAAAAATGGTGTGTACAATATTGCATTTATACAGCCATCCCTACACAACAGTCTGTCTGTCTGTCTGTCTATCTATCGAATGCCTAACTCACCTTAATGCTGTTAGGTGTAGCAGGCACGGCTAATAATGGGTGTCGTTAGCTTGCTGCATGGTAACATTGTTTAGTTTCTCCACGTTAAACTCATCTATTCATATTCTTTCTGGCCTTCCTCTGCCTCTTGACGTTTCAGTTCTGATGATGTTAGCTCTTGCAACAGTTCATGCTGGGTTTCATTTGACCAGATGGCCGAACCATTTCAGTCTTTGATTTTCAATAAATCTAATTACAGATGTTGTTTTCGCCATTCTAATATCTTCGTTTCTTTGAACTGCGTAGATGATGACCACTATTTTATGTGCATTCAATTTTACAATTATTGTAATTACGTATAGGTAATAATTTTTTTTTTGGGGGGGGGGGGGGAATTGAAACAACGTATTGCTTTTCATCCTGACGTCTCCTATTACTTTCTAGCACCCATCTAATTCATGCTGGATCGACCTGAAAGGGCAGGTCACTCGAAAAAAAAAGCCGCTTGAAAAAAGGATTTGAACCCAAGACTTTAGGGCCAACTGTAAGTTTATGGGCTCTGCCCCACCTAACTCACAAAAATTAATACAAATCTAGCAAACATACTTTCTTCATCAAAAGCTGTTATTGCTACAGTCATAAATAGTTACACTTGTTTGCTGTGAGTGGGTGTGTTGGTGTGTGTTTGTGTGTGTATGGGTGGTAATTGTAGTAGTAGTAATAGTAGTAATAGTAGTAGTAGTACTAAATGCAGCAGCAGCAGCAGTAGCAGTAAAAGTAGTTGTGGCAGTAGTAATAGTGTCAGCAGCAGTAATAGTAATAACAATAACAGTAGTAGTAGTAGTAGTAGTAGTAGTAGTAGTAGTAGTAGTAGTAGTACTAGTAGAAGTAGTAGTAGTAGTAGTAGTAGTAATAGTAGTAGTAGTAGTACTACTAGTAGTAGTAGTAGTAGTAGTAGTAGTAGTAGTAGTAGTAGTTGTACTAGCAGTAGTAGTAGTAGTACTAGTAGTAGTAGTAGTAGTAGTAGTAGTAGTAGTAGTACTAGTAGTACTAGTACTACTAGTAGTAGTAGTAGTAGTAGTAGTAGTACTAGTAGTAATAGTAGTAGTAGTAGTACTAGTAGTAGTAGTAGTAGTAGTAGTAGTAGTAGTAGTAGTAGTAGTACTAGCAGTAGTAGTAGTAGTAGTAGTAGTAGTAGTAGTAGTAGTAGTAGTAGTAGTAGTAGTAGTAGTAGTACTAGTAGTAGTAGTAGTAGTAGTAGTAGTAGTAGTAGTAGTAGTAGTAGTAGTAGTAGTAGTAGTAGTAGTAGTAGTAGTAGTAGTAGTAGTAGTAGTAGTAGTAGTAGTAGTAGTAGTAGTAGTAGTAGTAGTAGTGATTGTCGTGTTTGAGGCAGTAAAAATAACAGTAGATTAGAGGTTCCTTCTTCATTGTGAACGATTTACCACACATTCACTATCAACGGTTCACCACACATTCACTATCAACGGTTCACTACCCATTCAGTATCAACGGTTCACCACACATTCAGTATCAACGGTTCACCACACATTCACTATAAACGATTCACCACACATTCAATAGCAACTGTTCACCACACATTCACTGTCAACGGTTCACCACTCATTCACGATCAACGGTTCATCACACACTCACTGTCAACGGTTCACCACACATTCACCGTCAGCGGTTCACCACACATTCACTATCAACGGTTCACCACACATTCACTGTCAACGGTTGACTACAAATTCACTATCAACGGTTCACCACACATTCACTGTAAACGGTTCACCACACATTTACTGTCAACGGTTCACCACACATTCACTATCAACGGTTCACCACATATTTACAGTGAACGGTTCACCACATATATAGCTTTTCCCCTATGGCCTCGACTATTAAATAAAAGGTCCTTCACTAATCCATTCATTTAAAAACTAGTCCCAGCAAAGTCCAGAAACCTACACAAACAGTAACTGCATAAGGTTACCGCTAGAGGTGCCAGCACCAGCAATCCTTCACCAGAAATGAGTCTTTTTGTTGAAGGAAATGTTTATGTTAATGTAAAAATGACAATACCTCTGTGTTGGTTTCTGACCATCACTATTTCTGTCCGTTGTTGACCGCAGGAAGACGTGGCTACAAGCGGAATACTTCCTTGACTATTACCAGCTGCACCCATTGGGTTTCGCCGTTCTGTTTGAATCAACCGGAAGTGATGCATCACAATGGTTCATATCAAAAGTCTGGTACGGCGACAAACTGTTCAACAGCGTGGATGAGTTCATCGAATCCTACAACAACGGCAGGTGAGTTTAAATCCTTGACTTCTAGAACTAAGCTATACTCCCAGTGGAGGTTGTCTGCAATGCCCTGTCAACAGTGGAAAAATTATGTAGGAAAATCCCAATCCATCCACGGTGGGACTCATCGTTTCACTGTCTGAAAACCGCCAGTTGGATCTTTTTGCTTTTCAAAACCACCTACCGTGGGAATTGAAAACTAATAAACGCCAACGGTGATGTTGCGAAACATGCTTCTGGTCTATAGGCCACATAACTGCATTTTACCTTGAACACAATTCAGTATAGACACAAACATAAAAGCACACACATACCTGCAGACACAACCATACAGACACACACTGCAAGGGAGAAATAAACAAACACGCACAGACACGGGTGTGGACAAAAAAATACAGGCACAGAAAAACATGCAGAAACAAAAATACAAGCATAGACAGGCATGTAGGAACAAACAAAGAAGTGCAGACGGTCATGTGGACACACACATACAATCAAAGACAGTTGTGAAGTAACAAACATATAAGCGGAGACAGTCATTAGAAACAAACATACTAGCACAGACAGTCATGTAGAAACTAACGTACAAGCACAGACAGTCACGTGGACACAAACATAGAATCAACACAGACAGTCATGTAGAAAAAAAAACATACAATCACAAAGTCATGTAGACAGAGACAGTCTTGTGGAAAGAAACTAACAGGAACAGACTTTCATTTAGAAACAAACAAACAATCACAGACAGTCATGTAGACACATACACACAATCACAGACAGTCATGTAGAAACAAATAAAAAATCACAGTCAGTCATGTAGAAACAAATATACAGCCTCAGACAGACATAGAGAGAAACATATACAAGCACAGACAGACATATAGAGACACATATACAAGCACAGACAGACATATAGAGACACATATACAAGCTCAGACAGACATATAGAGACACATATACCAGCATACACCCACAGACAGGCGCGTTGTAAAAACATTTAAGCACAGACAAGCGTAAAGTAACGAATTAACAAGCATAGACAGTCATTATAAACAAACAGATAAGCACAGACAATAATGTAAACAGAAACATACACGCATGGACACGCGTGTAGAAACAGACCTACAAGCGCAGACAGTCATGTGGAAACAAACATACAACAGAGGGATTTAGGCACACCCATACAAGCACAGACACACATGCAGAAACAACATACAAGTACACACAGCTCTGTAGAAGAAAAAAGCCCATTTAAGCACAGACAGTCTTGTGGACACAAACATACATGCACAGACAGTCTTGTGGACACAAACATACATGCACAGACAGTCTTGTGGACACAAACATACATGCACAGACAGTCTTGTGGACACAAACATACATGCACAGACAGTCTTGTGGACACAAACGTACATGCACAGACAGTCTTGTGGACACAAACATACATGCACAGTCTTGGGGACACAAACATACATGCACAGTCTTGTGGACACAAACATACATGCACAGTCTTGTGGACACAAACATACATGCAGTCTTGTGGACACAAACATACATGCACAGACAGTCTTGTGGACACAAACATACATGCACAGACAGTCTTGAGGACACAAACGTACATGCACAGTCCTGTGGACACAAACATACATTCACAGTCTTGTGGACACAAACATACATGCACAGTCTTGTGGACACAAACATACATGCACAGTCTTGTGGACACAAACATACATGCACAGTCTTGTGGACACAAACATACATGCACAGTCTTGGGGACACAAACATACATGCACAGTCTTGTGGACACAAACATACATGCACAGTCTTGTGGACACAAACATACATGCAGTCTTGTGGACACAAACATACATGCACAGACAGTCTTGTGGACACAAACATACATGCACAGACAGTCTTGAGGACACAAACATACATGCACAGTCCTGTGGACACAAACATACATTCACAGTCTTGTGGACACAAACATACATGCACAGTCTTGTGGACACAAACATACATGCACAGTCTTGTGGACACAAACATACATGCACAGTCTTGTGGACACAAACATACATGCACAGTCTTGGGGACACAAACATACATGCACAGTCTTGTGGACACAAACATACATGCACAGTCTTGTGGACACAAACATACATGCACAGTCTTGTGGACACAAACATACATGACGTGAAAATGAAGAAGGCATGCACCTCAGAAAAATTAGCATTTGACTGCACATGTGACTTGTAACGAATACATGTGCCAAGCATACGACAAGTAACTCAACATATGACAGATAACTAAACTTATGACAAGGGTCTAAACCTATGACCAGTAACTACATATATGACCAGTAAAAATACTTATGACACAGATCTAAACATATGACAAGTAACTCAACATTTGACAAGTATCTAAGATTATGACATGGATCAAAACATACGACAAGCAACTCAACATATGACAAGTAACTCAACAAATAACAAGTATCTAACCTTATGACACGGATCTAAACATATGTCAAGTAGCTAAAATGTGAGTAGTATCTATAAGAAAAAAAAAAAAGTAAAGGACCCTTTCCACGCCTTTAGGCGTATAGGGCATATAGGGCTAGACCTATATTTTTATAGACTAACGGCACAAGATGGGTGATGTGGTCAGCATCACGCCGGCCGCCTCTACTTCCCGGGATTGCACCCGGTACCCACTCAAGGCTGGGTCGACCTGGGAGCCAAGGTCATTTTTGAAGAAAAGTCCGTCTCTACCAGGGAGCGAACCCACGACCTTCCGATCCGCGGCGCGCGTCTAGCCGCTCTGCCACAGCGACTCCCGAGTAGTATCTATACATATGATAAATAGCTAAACCTATCACAAGTAACTAAACCTATCACAAGTAACTAAACATATGACCAGTAACTAAACATATGACCAGTAACTAAAGATATGAAAAGTATTTAAGTAACTATACTAAACATAAAAAAGTAAGTAAATATATGACAAGTAACTATACTAATGACACAAAACTATGTTGTCACCTTGCTCTCTTTCCATCAATCTAGTCAATTGCTGCCATTCTTAAGTCTTTTCCTTTCTCACAACAGCAACAAAAGCAAAAACCAGTGTCTACCTCTGATAGTTACAATCAGTTGTTTCATCTGACTCCATGAGCACTGCTTCCTGTTTTCTGTCTGTCGTTCCATGATATTCTTTACATTCGTCTCAAAAGCCATGTCTGGACTGACAGTAAACCTTTAAGCGAGCATCTAACATGTCACGTCAATTTTAAATTTAAAAAAAAACCTGACATAAATTGACATGTGGCCTAAAAAAATAAACCAGCTGACACATAACTAAAATTTAATGTAACACATGGTTAGTTTATCTTTACAGGACGTTGCAGAACCAATCCCAGCAGCCCCTGGCTGTTGTGTGGTTTCTCTAAACACAGTTACGTCCAGTTGTTTGCCATTGCTTGCTGGACCGTCGGTGCCCTGATACCACTATCGAAACCAACCCAAGGCGGATGGTCCTCAGCTGGGATCCAACCCGGCACCCAAGCATCACGAAGCGTTCGCATGGAATTAGCCACAGAGCCGACATTTAAAACGTAACATAGCAATTAAAAAACGGCAAGGCATTGAACCGAAATGTGAAGGAAAAATAGGAAAAGCTTGATGTGTAACTACAATGGATAATGTAAAAATAAATAAATAATAAACAATACATGTAAGTAACACGGGAAATGAACATGAAGAAAAGACAATACATGTAAGTAAAATGAGAATTGTAAATAAAGAAAAAACAATACATGTAGGTAAAATGAGAAATGTAAATGAAGAAAAAAAAATACATGCAAGTAAAATTAGAAATGTAAATGAAGAAAAACAATACATGTAAGTAAAATGGGAAATGTAAATAAAGAAAAAACAATACATGCAAGTAAAATTAGAAATGTAAATGAAGAAAAACAATACATGTAAGTAAAATGGGAAATGTAAATGAAGAAGAAACAATACATGTAACTGAAATGGGAAATGTAAATGAAGAAAAAGCAGTAATGTAAAAAAAAAATGGGAAATGTAAATGAAGAAAAACAATACATGTAAGTAAAATGAGAAATGTAAATGAAGAAAAAACAAAACATGTAACTAAAATGGGAAATGTAAATGAAGAATAAACAATACATGTAAGTAAAATGAGAAATGTAAATGAAGAAAAAAACAATACATGTAAGTAAAATGGGAAATGTAAATGAAGAATAAACAATACATGTAAGTAAAATGAGAAATGTAAATGAAGAAAAAACAATACATGTAACTAAAATGGGAAATGTAAATGAAGAATAAACAATACATGTAAGTAAAATGAGAAATGTAAATGAAGAAAAAACAATACATGTAAGTAAAATGAGAAATGTAAATGAAGAAAAAACAATACATGTAAGTAAAATGGGAAATGTAAATGAAGAAGAAACAATACATGTAACTAAAATGTGACAGGTAAATTTTTAAAAAAGGCATGACATGAAACTAACTACTTGACACGTAGCTAAAACAAGCTGTTTTTTAAATGAGCTGCGTGGTCTTTAGAATGGTGTCCGCCTCGAGTGCTAGAGGTTCCGGGTTCAATCCCCGGAAAGGGCTTGGAATTGTTCACGTGGACTTAGACTTCTAGTAATTCCCCTGGTCTCTGGGTAGTGAGATCGGACGCCCGTGTGCATTGTTGCGCACGTAAAAGTATCCCTTGGCAGTTGGAAATCGAAAAGTGCAGCCTAACGGCGCTGCCCGGGCACAATTTGGAGTTCAAAATCTACCCAAAAGTATTTCAGGATCCTCGCCAGTGCTACATAACCTGTGCACTTATGGATTACACCCGTGTGCCATGCTGTTGACCCGTTGTTCAAAACCTTAAAACCTCCAGCTATTTCCAAATGAATGTAGCCATGTTATAAAGCACCACTTCCGGATAGAGATGATAACACCAGCCTCTCAGGGCAGCAGACACGGGGATTCAACTCCAGCACTTTGGTCCTGCATCATGACGGTGGTGTAGCAGCTAGAGTCTCGCCTGTGGATGGAAAGGTCGTGGGTTCGGGTCCTGACAGAGCCGGCATTTTTCAGCAGTAAATGCGGCAGGTGTGATGCTAACCTCTTCGCCACCAAAGTGCCAGTTGATGCATCAAATATGTGTCTGAAAACATGGTAAAGGATCCCTAACATGTAAACTTTTCTTACTGTAACCCTGGAGTCGACCTGCGTCATTACAGCGGGAACTAGACAAGTGTTAGTGTTTGCTTGAACTTTTCTGCGCAAGAGGATCAGCAAAACTTGTTATCACAATCGATGTCATTGCAAAGTGCAATGTTTTCATATGTGCCCTGGCCTCCAACGCAGCAGCCATCCAAACCTACTGATTCTTCACATAGGAAGGTTATACGTTGTTAATGTGAATGTTTCGCGAAGAAAAGCTTTGACTGTGCACCAGTCGCTCAACGTAAACGACGTTAAGGGGAGTTAACTGCCACGTCCCGTAGGGATCTGCATTTGTTAACGTTATGTGCATCTTTCTTTGTTAGTTGAGACGAGAAAGAGAATTCTTGAAAGCTAAATAAATCCTATCCCTATATACGGAAGTGAATTACGGACAGTTGATCGATTAGGGGACACATATTTGGAAGATGCGGTGTTGTTTTATAGACGAATTTTGAGAATACTCTAGAGTTATGAACAAGTAATGAAAATCTCTTGAATGAAAATAGCTAAGGAAGAAAACCGATTGCCCACATCAGAAAGACACAATCTACGTTCTTTGGTCATGTCATGAAAAGGAGAGAACTGGAGTACATCGTGACCGTGGACAAGATGGAATGGAAGAGGGATAGAGGGAGATCGAAAGTACACGAGACAGAAGGTTGTGGATAGACATGACTACCAACGCCACACTACATGGACTATAAGTAGAATATCTCTGCCTTGAAGACAGCAAAGACGCTCTTCACTAGACTTTACCAACAGGTCACCTAATCATGTCCCTTTGTAATTGTCATACACAGAAACTGGCCTTTCATTGTCCCGACAGATACATCAGCCATCCATATGCAATTGTATAGATTTGTTATTTTTTGTTGTTGTTTGGTTGTTATAGAGACGACATATCTGCACTTCTAACCAAGGAAGAAATACAGTCTCTCTGATCATATGAAAAAAATATGTCACGCGATCACACGTTTTGTGGACTCTCTCTCACAGTGTCACCAAGGTGAAGCTCACGAAACCAATCAACGATAAAAACTTGTTCTCGAGCATGTACCGCCGAGGTCCAGAACAACCGCGCTACCCACAGCGACCACCCACGCTTGTAGAGCCTGATGGCAAACGGTACTCAATCAAGAATGACAAGGTACTTAGCATTCGCTATTCAGTTTTAGGAAGTTTTATCTCTTCAGTTCTACCCCACTGGTCACCTTGCTGGTT